CCCCCTCATGACTCGTGGACTTCAACTCCCAGAATTCCTGAGCCAGCATGGGGGAACTATGGCCCCCTCATGACTCGTGGACTTCAACTCCCAGAATTCCTGAGCCAGCATGGGGGAACTATGGCCCCCTCATGACTCGTGGACTTCAACTCCCAGAATTCCTGAGCCAGCATGGGGGAACTATGGCCCCCTCATGACTTGTGGACTATAACTCCCAGAATTCCTGAGCCAGCATGGCTCAGCTTGGAAACCTCTCCCTTTCCCCTCAGCATGGCTGGCTCAGGAATTCTGGGAGTTGAAGTCCGCGAGTCATAAAAGAGCCAAGGTTGCCTACCCCTGCCCAAGGTCTTTCCCAGATACCATGACAGGACCTCAGGAGAAAAGAGGAACAGGAAACCTGGCTTTCCCATTGACTGTGCTTGTCAGAAGGTCGCGAAAGGGGATCACGTGACCCCGGGACATTGCAACCGTCATAAGTATGAGTTAGTTGCCAACGGACCAAATTTTGATCATGTGACCATGGTGGGGATGCTGCAATGGTCGTATGAAAAACCGTTGTAAGTCACTTTTTTCAGTGCCATTGTAACTTTGAACGGTTCTAAATGGACTGTTGTAAATTGAGGACCACTGTGTGTAGGATGCAGCTCCCCCCTCCTCTTTGTTGCCCCCATCTACTCAGGCTTTTTCAAGAAAGCAAGATGTAATTCTGGGCTACGAAAAGTTATCCATCCATCCATCCATCCAATTCATATTGCTACCAATAAAGGAGAATATTTGTAAGTTCGGGGTTGAAATGAGGTGTCCTTGGTGCTCTCTGAGCTTGCTTGTTTTCTTGCAGATGTTTCGTTACCCAGATTAGGTAACATCATCAGCGTTAGTAAGGAGTGGGGTTTACTCTCCGTTTATATTCTATATATAAAGAGAGAGCAAACGCCACTCCTTAGTAGCCCTGATGGTGTTCCCTAGTTGGGTAATGAAACATCTGCAAGAAAACAAGCTAGCTCAGGGAGCACCAAGGACCCTTCAATTTGTATCGCAGCCTGTGGCTGGGAAGGCATCGTAGAAATGCTACTCCGGTGTTCACTCAGTGCGTTTAACCTGCTTACAGAATTAACCCTCTTTTAGATTTGCGCTGTGTATCCAAATCTAGACAGCATACTAAAAAGCAGAGACATCATTCTGCCAACAAAAGTACGTATAGTCAAGGCCATGGTTTTCCCAGTTGCAATGTATGGCTGAGCGCCAAAGAATGAAGGCCTTTGAACTATGGTGCTGGAGAAGACTCCTGTGAGTCCCCTGGACTGCAAGGCTATCAAACCGGTCAGTCCTAGAGAGATCAACCCTGACTGTTCTTTAGAAGGCCAGATCCTGAAGTTGAAACTCAAGTACTTTGGCCACCTAATGAGAAGGAAGGACTCCCTGGAGAAGAGACTCATGCTGGGAAAGATGGAGGGCAAGAGAAGAAGGGGACGACAGAGAATGAGGTGGCTAGATGGAGTCACGGAAGCAGGAGGCGTGAGCTTAAATGGACTCCAGAAGATGGTAGAGGACAGGAAGGCCTGGAGGAATGTTGTCCATAGGGTCGCGATGGGTCGAACACAACTTCACAATGAACAACAACAACAATCCAAATGTGAGCTAATTAAATAGGCTGGGTGCGCGTGATCCGCTGAACGCAGATTCAGAAACCAGGTTGTGTGCATTGTGGGATTGTAGCCCAGGTCGTTTTGATTTTCTGGGGGAAAGGGACAGGGGTCTGGGCTTGGCTCTCTCTGTAGTGTCCTGATGCCAGGTTCACCCTCCCTCTTGATCTCTGCACGAAGGTGGACCCAGCCATCTGGCAGTGCCCTTCACCCGTTGTTTTCTCTTTTCTCCCCAGATGTATGGGCGCTACACCCAAGACCTGGGAGCGTTTGCCAAGGACGAAGCGGCTCGCGTCCGGCTGCAGCAGGAGCGCTGGAAATTTTCCCCGAAAGAGCGGCTGCGCTCCTCCGAGTTTCTGGAGTACGACCACGGTCGCTGTGCTTGTTGCCGTAGTAAGTAGGGCAGGCTTAAATCCTGTGCACTTGTACTTTCTAGCAACCTGTCTGAATGGGAGCAGCTGGGGGAGGAGAGGAGGAGAAAGGATCCACTCTATGTATACAGAGAGTCCTCGACGTACGACCACAACCGAGCCCAAAATATATGTTGCTAAGTGAGACATTTATTAAGTGAGTTTTGCCCCCGTTTTACGACCTTTCTTGCCGTAATGGTTAAGTGAATCACTGTTGTTACATGAGTGACACGGTTGTTAAGTGAATCTGGCTTCCCCATCGACTTTGTTTGTCAAAAGGTCGCAAAAGGGGATCACATGACCCCGGGACAATGCATGCGTCCTAAATATGAGCCAAGCAGCCGAATTTTGATCACGTGACCACGGGGATGCTGCAACGGCCGTAAATGTGAAAAATGGTCGCAAGTCGCTTTTCTCAGTGCCGTTGTAATTTCAAACGGTCACTAAACGAAGGGTTGTGAGTCAAGGACTACCTGCGCTTCCATTTTCTTAGACCTGCAGGAAAGAAAGTCTTGAGCAATGCTCAGTTACGCCCTAGGTCAGGGGTGGGGAACCTTGGCTCTTTTATGACTCGTGGACTTCAACTCCCAGAATTCCTCAGTCAGCATGGGGAAACTATGGCTCCTTCATGACTCGTGGACTTCAACTCCCAGAATTCCTGAGCCAGCATGGGGGAACTATGGCCCCTTCATGACTGGTGGACTTCAACTCCCAGAATTCCTGAGCCAGCATGGCTCAGCTTGGAAACCTCTGCCTTTCCCCTCAGCATGGCTGGCTCAGGAATTCTGGGAGTTGAAGTCCACAAGTCATAAAAGGGCCAAATTTGAAGACACCTGGTTTAAGATAATGATTTGGGCCAGTTTAAGATAATGACCTGGATAAAAACATGGCTGACTAAGGAATTCTGGGAGTTGAAGTCCACAAGTTTTTAAAGTTGCCTAATTTGGTGACAATGGTGCAGGTGGTCCAGGCTCCTTCTTTGACCAGTTCTTTCTGTTCGCTTCTCTCAGTTCTTTCTCCTATATTCTCTCTCCCTGTCTCTTTGTAAAGAATAATACACAAACTATTCACAGTCCCTTTCTGATTTGCCTCGGGCCCCCGGGCTGAATCCTTGGCAGAAAGAAGTCGTGCATATTCTATAGCTCAGTCAGAGATTTAATTTCCTGTTGATCTTTCTCGAGTCTCATGGGAGAACAGCATGAGAGACCCTGCCACAAATATCTCCCGAGCTGGAAGGTGTTCTTCAACACCACGGAGCTGATGCGTTTGGCTTTGTCTGACATTAACAAGACAGTTCTTGTCTTTCTCTTTGGTTCTTTCTGACCTCTTTCTGGGGAAGATTTTGTTCGGTCCTGACTTATCAAAAGAGGCATTCCCTTTATTTTACTTCTCTCCTGAACACACAGTCCAGCTAACATTTCAAACAAAACAATGAAAAGCAGAGTTAGAAAAAGCTCACTTTTTTTTTAAAGATGTTATTGAGTTTTATAGGGCTAGGGATAAAATAGGGTCGGGGTAGCCAACAGACTATTGTCCGGGTACATATGTTTGGCTAACAATAGTTAATATAGTAATAGATAGTAATTATAATAAACAGTAATCATAAACATTATTAATTAATCAATACATAACATTCTTCTTACTAGTACGTATTCAAAATAACATATCACATTCATTTCTCACTAGCTCGTTTTCCTAGCCATTGATAAAAGTTATCCCATGTTCTAAAATAAACTGAATCTTCTTTCTCTTTAATCTCTAAAGTCAAATCCATCCATTTCTGCACATTCTAAGAAGATTTTGTTCAGTCCTGACTTATCAAAAGAGGTATTCCCATTATTGCCCATTTTACTTCTCTCCTGAACACACAGTCCAGTTAACATTTCAAACAAAAAAAAAAAAGAAAAGCAGAGTAGAAAAAGCTCAACCTTTAAAGGGAATGTAGAATGGAGTGCTAAACTTAAATCCCCATGAAGGACTGACGAGAACGACGGAGCTTTACAGAGTTTTTAGAGACGGAGACAATGGAGGCAAGTACACGCTTCCAGGAATCCTGGAAGCGTGTAATTTTTAACTTGGAGCAACGCAAGAGAAGGTTCCCCAGGCTGCGTCGGAAAGATCTGAAGCAGTATTTCTCACCCTGGGGAATTCTGGGAGTTGAAGTCCATGCATCCTAAAGTGCAGCCAAAATTGAGAAACGCTGATCTGAAGCACACACCGTGCGTGGACGCGATCTGCTTGATAGGGCAGAAAAGAGAAAGAACGTTCTCTCCCCAGTGGGTGCATGAAAGGATAATTTCCATCCAATTTAGTGGGGCGGTTCAAACTGGCCTGAGCTGCAACTTTCAGCTCCCAACATAATCAAGCCTCTCCCACCTCGCCAATCTCTGGGGTAGGGTCTATGAACCCACCCAAGCCCCCTCCCCATACTCTCCTGTCTCAAAGACACATTCCTGGACACCAATCAGAAGTAGAGAAGGCGGGTGGACATCATGTTCTCCTAAAACAGTGATGGCAAACCTTTTAGAGACCGAGTGCCCAAACTGCAACCCAAAACCCACATGCATCGCCGGGTGGGCGTGGCCCATTAGCTGGGTGTGGCCAAATGGGTGTGGCCCATTGGCTGGGCGTGGCTGCGGTGGTAACGGCAGACTGGGTGGGACTAAAAAGTTCAATCAATCAATTGCAACTTTGCAAGATCTTTTTTTTTCCCCGTGAGAAGTTGAAATTGACTGATTGATTGAACCTTTTTTTTTTTCACACAGCAGCGGAGGGCTAAAGTAAAAAGGTTTTATAAAACCCAGCTGAAGGCCTAGGACTGGGGCGACGGCACGCGTGCCCACAGAGAGGGCTCAGAGTGCCGCCTCTGGCACCCGTGCCATAGGTTCGCCACCAGTGTCCTAAAAGATGGCCTTTAGTTCAACGGATTGAATGTGGCCAGATCCATAAGTAAGGTGCTCATTTTGGTTAAATCACCAGCTGGGTTAACAGAATGACAAGAGTTGGAAGAGATCTTGGAGGTCTTTTAGCCCAACCCCTGCTCAAGCAGGAGACCCTATACCAGTGATGGCGAACCTTTTAGAGACCGAGTGCCCAAAAACTGGCTCCGCCCCCTCTCCACCCCCCACCCCGTCCCTGCTCCGCCCCCACCCCGCCTCCCCACAGGGCCACTCATCGCCTCCAGGGCCCGCCACAGATCCCCCAGCAGCACCATGGCAGCCACGCCCTCTGCCCACACCCCACAGTATCAACTGTGCGCGATGGAGCGTGAGGGCAGAATCTTGTCTACGCTGCCTGGCTGCCATGTCCTTGACTGCATTGCTCTGCGTGGGCCACACTCGGGGGTGACCCTTCTCCAGGAGGGCTGCTGGTGAGGAGGGTGTCATGGGGGCAGGCAAGGCTGGGGCAACAGTACGTGTGCCCACAGAGAGGGCTCCGAGTGCCGCCTCTGGCATCCGTGCCATAAGTTCGCCACCACTGCCCTATACCATTCCAGAAGAATGGTTCTTTTTAAAAACCTCCAGTGTTGGCGCACCCACAACTTCTGAAGGCAAACTGTGCCACAGATTAATTGTTCTCACCATTAGAAAATTTCTCCTTAGTTCCAGGTTGCTTCTCTCCTTGATTAGTTTCCATCCGTTGCTTCTTGTCCTGCCTTCGGGTGCTTTGGAGAATAGCTTGACTCCCTCTTCTTTGGGGCAGCCCCTGAGATATTGGAACACTGCTATCATGTCACCCCCAGTCCATCTCTTCACTAGACTAGACATACCCAATTCCTGCAACCGTTCTGCATATGTTTTAGCCTCCAGTCCCCTAATCATCTTTGTTGCTCTTCTCTGCCCTCTTTCCAAAAGCTTCTAAAGGGTTAAGTGTCTTGTGTAGCTATCCTTGGAGACAAGTGAAGACCTGGTACTTTTCAATGAGAGATTTACCCAGGCTAAGAGAAGCCACTCCTCACAATTCCGTCACACATCGCTGCTGTCAAAGGAAGGATTGTGCGGCAGAATTTAATCTGACACCCTGCCGATATATAAGATTACAATTACCTTTGTCCCCAGTTTTATGCAGATTAACCGTTCTGGCCTGGAAGAGTAGGAGTGGTGGCTCAACCAGACATTGGGAAATTGGCATTATATACAGAAAGAAATGCATGCATGAGAAAACCGTGTGGTTGTGTTCACACAATATGCTGAATTGTGAACAAACTGAAAACTGAAAGAGCTGGGTTACACAATACACTAAGCCCCCATCCCCAAAAGAGAGGGGGCGCTTAAAATTGAGTATATAGAATAACAGAATGACAGAGTTGGAAAGGACCTTGCAGGTCTTCTAGTCCAGAGGTCCCCAACCCCCAGTCTGTGGACCGGTACTGGGCTGCGGCATACCAACAACCGGTCTGCACAAACAAGCAAAGCCCCATCCATGGGATGCAGGCAGCACACAAAACCACGCACTCTCTGGTCCATGGAAAAACCTTTCTCCACAGAACTGGTGCCCAAAAGGTTGGGGACCTCTGTTCTAGTCCAAGCAGGAGACCCTACACCAGGGGTAGGCAACCTTGGCTCTTTTATGACTCGTGGACTTCAACTCCCAGAATTCCTGAGCCAGCCATGCTGAGGGGAAAGGGAGAGGTTTCCAAGCTGAGCCATGCTGGCTCAGGAATTCTGGGAGTTGAAGTCCACGAGTCATAAAAGAGCCAAGGTTGCCTACCCCTGCCCTACACCAATTGAGACAAATGGCTGTCCAATCTCTTCTTAAAAACCTCCAATAATGGAGCACCCACAACTTCTGGAGGCAAGTCGTTCCACTGGTTAATTGTTCTAACTGTCAGGAAATTCCTCCTTATTTTTAGGTTGGTTCTCTCCTCGATTGGTTTCCATCCACAGCTTCTTATCTTGCCTTCAGGAGCTTTGGAGAATAGGTTGATTCCCCCCCTTTTCTTTGTGGCAGCATCAAGTTTAGTTCTTGTGTCTGCAGCTTCTG